AAAGGCATTCTGTTCTATTCTATTCTATTCTATTCTATTCTATTCTTTTCTATTCTATTCTATTCTATTCTATTCTATTCTTTTCTATTCTATTCTATTCTTATATACTCTGGGAATACAATTAAGCTTCAGCATGTCAAATAGGACATAAAGTATGATGTAATCAGCTGCATTTTGTTGTTGTGTTCATTGTATTTTCAGGTAATATACCTTTAGTGGTACCAGGCATGACAATGAACAGGACATTAAAGAAAACAAGGGTGGTCTAATCATGTTTTTCCATGACTGTATATAACACTGATGCCACTGAGAGGACAGCATTCCTATTTACAGTTTAGCATAAAAAAAAAAAAATCTGGACAACATACTATGGATGTGTGTGTACCTATGCTGTTTATTGCGATCCAATTAATCAATTTCTAATTACCTCCCAGGTTCTTTCTGGCAAAATAACACAAGAATACTTCAGAAAGAAAGTATTAGAAAGGTGGTGATGATGGCTTTAGTCCCAGATTACTGCCAAAATCAAAGTACAGCCCCTGGAAAATGTATTATTTAGTTTCTATGGTTTTATTTACCTTTTTCAAATGTTGTTTTCTTGTTTCTTTCTTTTTTTTAAATCAGATATGGACATCTGCAGAGACACAGGAAACATGCAGCCAGAGGCCCGGCTTGTGTCACGGTGGTCAGGATCCAGGTCTGGTTCGTGGTGCACACACCAGGTGAGCTACTGGGCACCTCCATGTTCTACTAACTGTCCTTCTAATGTTTGCTTTTCTGTCTATTCTGTATATTATACTGGCTAGACACCTAAAACCTTACCAGGACTGCATGGTTGCACTTTAATTAGATTTGATTGGCCGGCAATATGTGAGAGAGCAGCTTCACAAATAGTCAAGCACTGCTGCGTTCTGATTGGTGCACACAAGCATCACAAACGCAGAAAATAACACAAACATTTCAGACTTGAGCAGAATCATTTGCCAAAATTCTTTGGCATGAAAAACTCGATCACTGATAGTAAGAAAAGGATTGGAAATACCAAATTAACTGATTATCGTCACTAACGAGCCAAAACATCATGGCCCTTCTGCCAAAACAGCTCACCAACATATAGACTCTACGAGGCCTCTGAAAATGCCCTGGGGCAACTGGCACAGAGGCATCTGCAGCAGATCCTTAAAGTCTTTTAAATCTTTACACATCAACTCCTAGAAAGACTGTCCACCTACCGTGTAACATGCCAGACCTCGACAGGTACTGTTGTTACGAGATAGTAATCCACCTCATCTGTAAGCGGTTATGTTGTTTTGGTCGATGAATGCATGAGGGAACACAACCACTACGACCTTTTCTACCCCGCTGTCGTCATGTCATTGACTAGAGACTCGTACCTGGTATTCACTGGGCCAGAAAGTGCTGACGGCGAGCTCCACCTGGTGCCACTGGCGTCCCTGGGAGCCGGAGATATTCCACACGGCGCTGCCCTTGGGGCCACCGTTGACCCGGATGTAGACCTGCAGGTCTCCAGGGCTGTGGCCATCACGGCTGTACAGGAAGTAGCTGAACTGGATGCAGTGAGTGTCGTTCTCGCTGAGCGGCAGCAGCAGCAGCTGAGCACGCTGCCCCCCAAAATGCTGGGAGGAATTGACCATCATGAAGGATCCTGGTGCAGAAAAACAAGCAGAAACAAGGACACATTAGAGAACTGTCTTTCTTTTATCTTTAGTAATTAGTACCAATTGGCAGCACTCATTTAAAGTTCAGTTATTATTGGTAGATGCTGAGATGCTGAGATGACTTGAACAGATGAAGAGAAGATAGAAAGTTTGGAGCTGATAAAATGGAACGACCTTGTCCAGCAAAGACTCTTCTGTTAAACAGCAGCAGCTATTCCTACACACTTCACAGATAGCATCCACTTCAGCATTTTCCCTTGTCAGACTGAGCTGAGTGGCCTGAAACATATAAAGAAATAACACAATCCACCTCTCTGGGCTTCACCTGTAACACCTCAACCTCGGATAGATATGTCATGTTTGTTTTCAACCACTGAAGAACGTCTGCCTTCTTTTTATTTTTAAATCCCTGAAAAAGAGCCTGAGAGCCAAAGTTGACAGGCTCAGGGTTGTTACTCAGAATATCTGTGAGATCCTCTCTGGCTATTTGTCTGCATTTGGTCTGTATCTGCTTCTGCCTGCTTTCACTGGGCCTCCATCTTTTTCTGCAGCGCTGCCTCAGATCTGTTCAAAGCTGCAGCACTGGTGTCAGAATGCACTTTCATTTTGGACTGAGGTTCACAGAGTAACTGCTGCCTGCTTTCTCATCCCTTCAGCACAGCAGAGATCCCCCGGCCATGAGAAGAGCGTCACAACGGATGGTGGGGAAATAAAGCGGGAGGTTTGCCTTTGACTGTGGCCTTCTGAGCAGCAGAAAGCTCAATCTGAAGTGGAAAGAAAAAATACTGGAAAATATGATTTTCTCACCTTGTTTGTGAGCCACAATCAGACATTTAACATTAAAATAATTGTGAGAAACTGTATAACAAGGAATATGTGTTTAATGCCTAATAAAAGGCTTTATTTTATTAAATGAAGTGTTCATGTACAGCAGCTAAAGGAAAGGGCCTTCTTGTGACATATTACCATGTAACTGTACAGACATGTTAATATCTATGTAATATCTGCATTGTACAGCTATTAACACATCCAGATATGAATACACCCATGCAAGGATGAGTTCATGAGTAATATGCTGTATGCAGGTTGTAATTATAATAAAATCTGATCTAAATTCTAAATAATTTTACAGACATTGTGGAAAAGGTTGTGTGGTTTTGTTTCATTGTGCGATATACGTTGCTGCAATAAATGAATTGAGAGCAATTGAACTGTGAAGAATGGATGTGAATTTAAATGCAAAGTGTGTTGTTTGTGCTTAACTGACTCATTGGGACTTGTTAGGCATGTCAAGAACTGCCAGATGATGACAATGACATCTTCTAATCTGGTGGTAACACTTAACAACCGCCTGCTCTGCTAGACAGGAGGATCAGAGCTTCGGTGAGGATCTTAAGTGGAGGAAATGTATGCCTTAAACGCCACAGAGGAAACCAATGTGCTTACATTTTAAAATTCCTGCTGTCTAAAAAGTCAATAAGACAAGGCGGTAAAGGGAAACTGTGGAAGCCAAGACAAGATGTAAGACAAGAGCAAGAAAAACAATCAGATAGAAGAAGGTTTGACTGACACGTGAGCGTTGCCTTACCGACCACCTCCTCGTTAATTTGCACCTCAGATAGTCTGCCAGCAGCATATGGATAAGACATGGAGGCTTTGGACAGTAGTGCTGCAGACAAACTGACCTCTGTGGCAACAGTCACCAAAGGTGTGTGTTAGAGTCATTTAATCTGGGGTTTGGGTATATTGTGAATAGAGCAGCTCTCACAGTTGTCTTGTTCATACATGTTAGGATGGTTTTAAAGCAAAGACAGACACAAGTGTTTAAGATCAGTAATTAATCCATGTAGAAGAAGCTGTGAGCACAACAGTGTTCAACTAGATGAGCTACAAGTAATCTGTTTTAGTACTTTGAAATATCTGCAGCCATTTAGAAAGCTGTTGATTTTTGACAAGCTTTCTGTGAGATGAACGTCACAGCATTACGTCTTATCGTCAGACCAACAAGACGACATCATCACCAAGAAATGCAAGATTAAGATCTTATTGCAGTGAGTGAAAGGCACTGAAATGTTCATAATATCTAGATTACAGGAGGAGCTTTCTGCTACAGCATGTAGGAGCTGCATTTAAAGAACAGAACCTTTTGCCAGCTGTTGGGTACATGGAGGGAAGTTTCCTGCTTTGGGTTGTGTGGCAGCCAGTGACACATGAAACTAGAGGACAGAATGGATTCTATTAAAAATAAAAGATGCCATGAAGTTGAACAATTCCAAAGCAGACCTCAAAGTGCACAACTTCAAGAAACATAAAGAGAATCTGTTGGAGTGCTCCCCAGGGTGCCATGAGCGTTGGAGATGTGCGGTGAGATGTCCACCATGCTGTGCCAGCCGAACACTATGCCAAAACTTGAAGTGATCTGTTGTTAATGTGGCTGAAACTTGCAGAATCAAGACACCAAAGACTCTTTGCTTTCACAAACTATGACATCTGTCCGTATGGAGTTACTGAGCCAAAGGGCTGCCCTTTAATAACCCACCAAACGTCAGTAATGAGGAGAGTCTTACAGGCATTGATCTGTCAGTGGATCCATCTTGGAGTGAGAATGCAGCATGCTGTCGTCTGCATCCTGTGCAGGCCAGCTGCAGACTGATGGCAGCATTAAGCTAAACTGCTCTTGTTTCTATGATAACTTACTTGGGGATCAGCTTTTCACTGACTGTGATTGATCACTCTACATGAGGAGGCCGATCTACAAAATGTTCAGTCACCAACAAACAGTCAGCCTGTCACTCATGCTGGTGTTACTGTGGTACCTGTGGATTGTATTGTTCTGTAGTAGAATACAGAGCTAAACTAACATTTTATTTGCCTACAGGTGCCAAAACTTTTGTATCGACCTAAAAACAATGAAGCAAGAAACTGATAGATGGAGAAATGAATGGAGAAAGTAGAACAAATGATGTGGCTCCACTACAATGTTTGCAGAATAGTTCCACCACCAGACTGTCTCCATGTTATCATCTATTTATCCATTTAGAAGCACATAAACGTAAAGGAAAAGATGCTGCTTGGTTTGACCTTTATGTGATCAGTGATGAATATAAACACATTCAGACAAACATACTAGCAGTAAGTTGTCTGTATTTATTACCTTGGACTGGTGAACACGGCCTTGGGGATCACACAGTTTCCTCCCTAATGTCTAATCTTCCAGCCATCATCATCACATTGAGTCTTTGATGTTGCCCGTAGGAGGGCAAATGCAAGCTAATTGCACGGATAGCCTTCAGATCCGGTGCAACGCAGTGGGTGCTGCTGCTTGGCATGACCGGGGCGGATTAGGCAGATAGTGGGGATGGTGGGTAGTGTAGTTGCCTCGGTACTGTAGTTGAGGGGGAGTCCAATCAGAGCCCTGCCTCCTGCCATTAATCATACTGACACGGTTATTAGGCCATAATGGCAACCGAGGGAATGCTTAAACCAGAGAGATGGCTGGAATACGTGCACGCTGACATGCAGGACACATATCAGCATGCACACACACACACACACACACACACACACACACACACACACACACACACACACACACACACACAGCCTCAAAGCAGACTCAGATCCAAGTCTTGCTGACCTTCCCAGGAGTAAGAGGTGGCTTCTTCTTTCAACTCACCCATCATTCCTCCTCCTCCTTTCCTATCAACTGATTTTCATTTTTCCCCATGTTTTGCTTTTCCTTTCCTTTTCACATCTATTTCTTCTTTCTGCTAAAGACATGCAGTCTTACACAAGGATAAATGGCAGGTTCATTCCTTTATACACAAAAGATTCACCATCTGTTTTCAGGCAAATGCAAAACCTCAGCATCAAAGAAAAATACTGGCAAAGGTATTTTATCAGCAGCTCGTGTCTGGACTCATTTTCATCAAGGATAAGACATTTTCCAGGAAGACATTGGCCCTGTTATTTCACATTTCACAGTGTAGTGTGTTGATAACAAACTACAGCCAATCTTTTTTCACTTTAATGTGTTTTGAAAGAAGAAATCTGCCTCTGAGTGCAGACTTTTATTTACACTGAGGTAAATGTGAAATTAACTCAATTATACTGAATGTAGTTTTTGTTATGCAGCCATTCTCCATGTCTCACACGTTATGGAGTGCCGTCAGTTGGTATAAGAAAGCATATTAGCAGGAGTGTGGTCTAATGTGTTGCTGTGAGCCCAGTTTGCTCAGTCAGACCTACACAGGAACTTTTTATTTCTTTCATCAAACCCCGGCTTGAAAAAAGAAAAAAGAATTTAAAAAAAAGCAGGTCAAAAGGCGACTGAGATCCATGGAAAGTTGGATATAAAGAGATTTAAAATGCATGTCACAAATCTTCCCTGACCACTGTCCGTTCCCTCCCTGGGCTCCATCCTGCCCCAGAAGCACGGATGAGACGTCAAACTGCCAGAAATATCCTGTGATAACAAGCAGCTGCTGTCCTCTGAGATCTCCCTGTATTCTTGGACAACGCTGATATTTTTCTCTCCCTCACCTGCTCGCAGGCGAAACCCAGGCAGGCTCTGGCTTCGCCTTCGCCACTGCAGCTGCTTTGATGTGCGAGTTCTCCGAGGGGGGCTCTGTGGTTAAATTGCTTTTTCTTCAGCTATGAGAGCTGGAGCCCCTCATTGTTAGAGGGCAAGTCTCCAACTGTCCTCATGACAGGACTGCATTGAGAACAGTGGGGGAGGCGGTGGAGGAGGGGGGCAGCCTGTTTTCTCATTACACATTATTTTTTCAAATATCTTACAGCGACTCACTCCTTTTTGTAAACCAAGTACAGTTGTAGCTCATGCAGTATGATTTGTTATTGGAAATGTTGTTTAATCCTATTCAAGCTGCCTAGTGGATAAATGAGTAAAGAACGTGTCCTCCGACCCTGATGGACTGGTCGTCCCTCTGACCAGGGACAAAGTCATATTAACTACTGCTTTGAAGCA